CCTCAAAGAAAGGGGGTGACGAACTGGGACGCCGTGAGCGTGCGTCAGCTTCTCGTGGCCGCCACCGTGGCGCTGTTCGACCGCGTGGTTTGGTTCGTCCGCCGAAAACTAGTTCGTCAGCAGAGACAATATGCTCGCAAATTTAATGTTTTTGAGGCGAAAAGTTCGTGAGCTGAGGCGTTCGTCAGCGGAGGTATCGCTGTATGAAATTATTTCTATAGTCAGCCGCTTAAAAATGATCATCGTTGGCAGCTTTAGGCCCGATGCTGCGCGGCTCAAAACACAGGTAAAATGGGTTCTCTTGTGGCCGCTTGTTTTCAGTATGACGGGGGAGTCACCTTTTTTTATTTACAGTCCGAGTTTGAGGCAAATCAAATGTCAGAGGGTCTTCGTCCATATTTATTATTTCATCTGGGCTGATGGAATTCTCCGCTATATTTGTTTGCGTGAACGTGCCGAACGAAGCAAGTTTGTCCTCGTAATTGGGATGTAGCTGCTGACACAACGTCGTGCGTGCACTAATAGACAGGCTTCCATTTCATGAATCTATAACACCACGACGGCCCACCTTTAAAAGCTTTAAAAGCTTTGGTTGTCTTTTTACACTGGCTCAGTTCTTCTTGCCGGAGCCTCCACCTTCGCACCATCGACTCGTCTATGCCAAGATTACGGGCAGCAGCTCGATTTCCTTCTTTAACTGCCAGTGATCACTTTTAGTTTAAAAGCTGCATCATATGCTTTTCGTCTCGTATTCTCCATGTTGATCAGGGTTAGAAGAAAGGCTGAAATAAGGAAGTTGTGATTACCGGTAATCATACAATTTCATTGGACCCCTGTGTACTACTCATTCATTTTATTGGTCGACTGTTGCCGGGTAACACATTTTTCCCCCGCTACAGCAAAAAGAGCGGAAGTTGTGATTAGTCATACAATCTCATTGGACCTCAGTGAACTACTCATTCATTTTATTGGTCCATGTTTTTCCTGTGATGGAAAAAAAAAAATGAAAAAGTCGCTTCATATTGCACGCCGCAGTGTTGAAAGTGTGGAAAAAAGTAGCGGCTTGTAATCCGGAATTTACGGTAGTTGTTTTCCGCGTGTTTCGGGCACATACAACATTTCGGAAAGTGCTCACAAGCCACGACTGTTGTTTATTTTTATATACTTTTCTATTTGTTCATCAGATATGACATATCTCAGTCTTTTATTTTATTAATGCTGTACATTTTCTATGTTCAGTCGGGAATGAAGCCTTCATAAAATTTATTTTGTGTTCAAGTCTGTCATAGACCCGTGATAGAGAAATCTATGAACAAAATTGTATCATGTTTAAAGTTTCGGTTAATTTGGGCATGTCTGGACATACTCAGCGCAGAGGTGTCGGCCGTTTGGGCGGAGGGCCTTTTCTTGAGTAATCACGTCAAAGCAAGGGGGGCGAACAGATGGAAGAAGGCTAGATTCAATCACAGAGAGGGAATAAACAAATTGGGAACAAAGAGTTGTTGAATACCAAAAGACAGTTTGGGAACAGCTGTCGCGCCCAGGTGGACATTTGTCATCAGCAAAGTCTGTGACTTGTGTATTCGGGTAGATTAGATCAGGGGTCCCCAACCTTTTTTGCCCCACGGACCGGTTTATGTCAGACAATATTTTCACGGACCGGCATCTACGATGCCAGAAATAATACAACAAAATAATATGGTATGAGCTGCATGAACACTGTGGTGTTTTCCAAATATAATAATAAACACAAGGAGCGTCTAATCTGGCCGCAACACTCTGATCGCAATGGTAATATTACTTTTAGTCCAGTGGCTGCGAACGTCCTTTTAAGGCCGCCGTTATTTGCGATCTCCAGCAGTTTTTTTTACTCTTTTTGCGAGCTCCGGCGTTTTGATTTTAGCGTAATCAGTCACCGTGACGGAGAAGCGTGGCTTGACGTGTGTCAAGCGTGACTCAGACGGATGTAACGGAGAATCCGGTAATTTTTCAAAATAAAACATATTTCGTTTTCCGAAAAAAATAAAACGGAATTAAGGCAAGTTCTTTCTGTGCGGCCCGGTACCAAATGCCCTGCGGACCGGTACCGGTCCGCGGACCGGCGTTTGGGGACCCCTGGATTAGATCACTACCGAGGGGCCGGACCGGGGGGCGCGGTATGCAAATCTCGGGGGCAGTGTCTTTCTTGTATTTTGCAATAAAAGTTCGAACCGGCGGAGAGGGAGCCGAGTGTGTGATCATCGGAGCAACTAAACTGCCGTTCGCTCTCAGAGATCCGCTCCCGCCGATATTGAAGACAATTTTCCTGTGTGCCGAGTCATTTCTTTAACTTTGTCCGAGAAAATCTCTGACAGAAACTCTGACAACCCGGCCACACAGCTTTCGGATTGCAATCCAGCTCAAAACACAGGTGAAATGCGCCCTCTCATGCCTGGTTATTTTCACTGTGACACATGACAGCGTCTCACTGTTACCTTTTCTGCTCCTGCGCTCCCTGGCGGCCGTTGGAAAAATGTTTAAATAGGCCACATCATTAAATAAGCCGCAGGGTTGAAAGTGTGTGACAAAAGTCGTGGTTTATAGTCTGGAAATTACAGTATACAGTGTTCCCTCACTTATCATGGTTAATGGGGACCAGGACCGTGCCACGATTAATGAAAAACCGCGATGGAGCGTTGGCTCCGCCCCCTAGGAATTTTCGTGTAAGTGTATGTGGGTACCAGCATGTTTAAAATATGTAAACAGTATTTATACTTTACATACCTGAGAAAAAGATTATAGCTGTACGCGTATTTACTGAAATCTTTCATTATAAAACCTTATACAGTAATTAACATTCATCAGCATTGCCTTCTGAGAGAGACAAAGAGACTTGTGTTACTCTAACTTACGCCACTCCGACAGTGTAGCTACCGTTAGCCTCGAACTAGCTGCTGGCCAGCTATCCCCGTGCAGCCGATGTGTTCATGATAAGACAATTCATCGGTATTGATGAGGAGGAGGCGAAGAGAGACGTGCTGTGTTTTTCGGACAAGCCCAATCACCCACTCTCTCTCGGGCTCGCCTGTGCTCACTTTCGCTTTCACCCCCACGTGCATGTAGCAAACAAACAGCACGAAGAGACACTGATCAAAGAGTCCACAGCTGACAAGACACTGATCGGCGTCAAGAGCATGACTTGACACGGATCAGAGTCAACTGAGAGAGTCCGTGATGAGACACAAGGGAAGGTGCTGGGCGGGGCATCTAGCCAATCAGTTCAAGGGATAAAACCACTCGTGCTGTCATTGGTTGATGTTGGTGCCAGGATCATCATGCGTACAGCCATTATCAAAACCTCTGAGGTATTCAGCATTTTTTGTTAATACAGTACTTCGGAAAAATAAACACAATGTAGTGAAGCCACGATAAATGAAGCACAATTTAGCAAGGGATCACTGCACTTACTTTGCATGGACATCATGTCCCTCCACTTGGACTTCTGCTTTCACTGACCTCTGACCTGCAAGTAAAAACATAAATCATGATTGGACTCAATAATTAAGTATTTTTTGCAATGTATGTGTTCATTCATTCACTGACAGTCATTTTCAAAGCAAAATTTCCCATATTGCCAGCCATTTTAAAGCATTATGACCGAGTTGTTTTGTGACAATACAAGCATCGAGCCAACAAAATGAGAGAGTAGAATGTCTTCTCCCACCAGGAAAAATGTTTGTTTCTACATCTTTTCCTTCTTTAGTAATCATCAGTAGCAGGTGTGCCGTAGCCTATCCAAACTGTTTTAGGGCAGGGGACACCCTGAACTGGTTGCCAGCCAATCGCAGGGCACACATCTACATACAACCATCTGCGCTCACACTCACACCGAGGGACAATTTCGAGTGTTCAATCAGCTGACCATGTATGTTTTTGGGCTGTGGGAGGAAACCCACGCAGGCACGGGGAGAACATTCAAATTCCACACAGGAAGGCCGGAGCCGGAATCGAACCCTGCACCTCTGTGCTGTGAGACGGACGTGCTAACTAGTCTAACCACCATGCCGCAATAAGGCTTTCTATGTGTGCGTATTTGTGAGGAAATTGCTTCATTGGATCCTGGACCTATCACTCCCTGCCATCCATCCACCCATTTTCTAATCCGTTTATCCTCACAAGGGTCACGGGCGTGCTGTAGCCTATGCCAGCTGTCTTTGGGCAGTAGGCGGGGCACACCCTGAACTGGTTCACAGCCAATCGCAGATCAACCTTCCTCATACCACAATTACTGTTCCAAACGTCTTCCTGGGTGATGCATCATTCCCCTTCCTCCACAACCTAATCCAAATTTTTCCATGTGTGTTATTCATTTGAGTAAGATAATTTCTTTTTTTTTTTTTTTTTTAAATAAAAATGTAATCGCCCTGAACTGCACTGCAGGCAAAAATCTTGATGAATTTACAACTATCACCACTCAAGCGGCAGGAGATTGATAGAAAACACCTCTGGCATCCTGGCAGCGCGATGACGAGTCCTGCGACGACAAATTTAATTCCATTCTGATGAGACTGTTAAAGTTGTGAAGGCCTGTGTTGCTCTTCACAATTCCCTCTGCAGCACAGATGCTGCCAACACCTACAACATACTGTACATTACATCCCACCCAGGTTTTCTGATTCTTTCACACCTGCACCTGCTTCTGTCTATGGAAGATGGAGGACAGTAGTCGAGGGACAGCAGCTTCTTGGACACCGTACAGCTCGGCAGAGGGCAAGCAACCCGGTCTGCAGTCTTGGCAAGACAGGACTTCACATCATTCTTTATATCACCACACGTTCTTGTCCCTCAGCAGGACTGTGTGCTTCGAAAAGGGATTTTGGACTGAAGGCTAATATAAATACAGCAATACAGTGTTTTGACAGATTGTAATGGGTGTTTGTCATGATGATCTTTGGGATTGAGTTTGTATTATAAATGACATTAAAAATGGGTATACGTACATAATTTACATATATCCATGCATATCATATTTCAAAACCACAGCCATGCCCACATTCTGCAGTGTGAGTTTTTTTCTTGACAAACTGCTACATATACTCGGGGAGCTGGAGCCAAAAGCTTCTGCTTCTCCATTTTGTAGGGTTCTACCAAGAGCATGAGCATAGTGACACTGCAAAATCCACAGTCATTGTAAAATGTCATTCTGAGTCAAGGCTGGGACAAAAAACTTGGTAACTCGTGTTTAAATGTGACCAGGTGTGTGATGATAGTCTTCCAAGGATCATTTTCAAATCTTTTCGAGGTCTTCAGATGTATGGGTAGGATTAGATGCTAAATGGTAATAAACAAGCTTTGCTCTGTATATTTGAACATAATTAATTCCAGAACTGGTATGTGATAACATTGATTCAGAGTTCATTTACCATCAAGTGTAAAATAGTTTATTACGAACTCATAGCAATATAACAAAATGTCCAGGTGCAGCTGCGCATGAACCCCATGCTGGAGCACAGTGTGGCGCTCTCTCACCAGTCAAACAATCAGGACTTGACTGTTTGTGTTATCGTGTACATCAGTTGAAATACTGTTTCTCTGCCTCAAAAGTTTCAGACACAAATGAAATGCAAATCTTTAGTTCGAAATTGATTTTTGAAGAGCTCACCTGATCAATCAAACTTACTCCAAACACAATAAATACTTTGACTGCCAACATTTATTTAAAAAAAGGCAGGCCAGATAAAGTCAAGAATATTACGACAAATATGAAACAACAACTCAAGAGTAGCAATTCCACTAACCTATTCTGTGCATTGTTTTATGGGATTAAGCAATCTGGGTTCTTATTACATGGCATAACTTCTGATTGTGGAACGGACACCCAATTTGCAGATTGAAGAGGCCAGGTGGGGAGACAAAACTGCCCATTTGACTAATTAGATCTCTTTGTCAGCATCATTTGTGCCTGTGATAACCCACAAAGGATAGAAATTCACCGGGGATGCATATCTTGAGGTCAGTGGTGGGAGTATGATGCTTAAAAGACACGATGGGTCAAAGGGCAGTTGAGACACGACGTTGAGACACATCTCCTCATATCATTATTTTCCACATCTCCGCATGCTAACACTTTTCTGTCATCATCAGTTTATGTAATAAAGATTCAAAATGTGCTGCGTATAGGTACATGTACATGTGTATGAGTATAAAAATATTTATAAGGCCAAATTTAATGGTATACATGCATGTAGACATAATTTATTTAGTAATTAACATTACTTAATGCTGTATACTAATAGATTTAAACATGTATAAGTTAGGTTAGGTTAGTGTATGAATAACAAAATACAGTAAACATATGCATGTAGTACTGTATATGTTGATCTATGTGACTCGCTGTGGTTTTGCTGACTTTCGCTGCTTCTCCCGTACCGTTTGCTGCAAATAATTGAGAGCTGCAGCACTTCATCACTACCAGAAGAATCAGACAATTCAAAAGCAGTCCTAAATTTCCTGCGACACAACAGAACAGAATACCAATGGACAACTTTTTTTTTCTGGATTTGAACTGTGGATATATATTTTCCTAATGGTTGTGGACGTGAAGAAAAAGCCATGTGATTAATTGCGAGTTCTTAAATGACAGAATGGCATTAGGCAAATATAACTACATTTACATTCAGTCAGGGTCATTCTTTTTTGTAACTTGCATCTTTATTATTTTAACAACATATAGGACCATACAATTCTGAACATATGAATACAGAGGATTTTGTATACCCCCTCTTTCAGTCCCCAAATTCGGATGTTGTTCCTCCTCGACCTTCCTTCCAAGTCGGCCACTTTCTGTTGGAGCTTCCTTTGTTGTTCGAGTGAGACAGTGAGAATTTCCTGTACCTCTGTACTCCATTCCTCCACTTCACCTGCTCTTTCTTCCAGCATCTCAATATCCTTCCTTTGCACCCGGATGTCAGCGTTCACGAATTCAAGCTTTCTGTTGGTTTCCTCCCACAAGTGTTCAAGTCCTTGTTTCATCTCCTCCATTTGTTTGGCGATTCTGTCCAACTTGACGTCTAAATGGTGTTGTCCCGTGTCCATTTTGGCTCTTATTTCTCCGAGTCCGCTCCGTAGATTAGCCTGTAATGCCGACGCCCAGCCAGGTTGATTGTCGATGTCGCGAGCTAATGCTACGTTAGCATTAGCCGCTAGCGCCGGTCCCCCTTCATCTTCGTCGTGTGTGTTTTCAGTCTGTTTCTCGCTCTTCTTCTTCTTCTCCTTTCCCTTTCCAGACTGAGCCTTGTTCATATCCATCTTATCCTATGTTCGGGTCGCAGCCGCCGTTCTTTTGTCGTTTTTTTTCTCCGTTTTTTTGCTCGTACGGCCGGGAGCTCCACGCGTTTGCAGCTTACCCTCTCGCTGTCATACCGGAAGTCCAGTCAGGGTCATTCTGACCTGCCATTTTACAACACAACGTAGTCCTACACAAAGGGTAACTTCAACAGACTTGCCCAATCTGCCTTCTGTCCGAAGTCAGATGGGAAAGGCTTTCAGCAACACCCCACGACCCTGTTCTGGATAAGCGGTGGTGAAAATGGATGGATGGATTGAAAGTTTCATTTTTGTCTTGGTTTATTGGCTGTCACCAGATGACAACACGTTGAGGCGAAATACTCAACAGTATAAGGACCGCACCTACCAGATAACTTGACAATTTGTCTTGCAGCCAGCAGCAAAAGAGAATAAAATCAATTCCAAGCTCACGTATTAAAGATGAAAAAAAAATGCAATTTTGCAATAATTATACTTTCATTCGTTTTGTGAATGTAAAATGAAGTTTCAGTTATATTTCCTTTGAGACAAACATTTTGATCAAGTCTAATGAATGAAAATGTTTTTTCTGTTTTAGTGTTTTCGTTGTTTAGTTCATTTTCATCAACTATAAAAACCTTGTTACAGATGAGCTATTTCCACCCAATACATTCGCACCTAAGTCACTAAATAACTTTCCAGTCACACATTATTTCCTCAACATGCCTTCTCATCCACACAGCAAGCTCATTCACGGTAATGTACTATGTAGCCTCCTGAGAAGCCTGGTGGAGTGGTGCAAATTGCTTGGCAGGTCCATTTGTGCCTCTGTACACCCGAGCCCCAACCTCATTAAACATGAACAGATGCGGGATTTCAAGTGTCATGGAAATTTTGTGCCCAATTTCTTGGTGGTGCATTTGCCTTTCTGGTGTTAAAGCCCCAGTCCCAATGGTTGACAATCAGATTGTAGGTAAAGAAAAAGGTCAGGTAAAAAATGACAAAGCCTTACGCAGAAGTTGTGCATTATCCCACCTTGGCTCTTTATGTCCCTCAAGCATTTGAAACTGAGGTACACTTGAGCAAAGCACCTGACTTCCCGAATAAGTTGCCCACTGCTCCTGTGTCACTGAATGACTGTACATGCTCTGGTTTTGTTCGGATCGACCCAAGAAACTAGGATGTAAAATGGCTCACCCACTCTCCTGAAAGGCAAGT